TGTGTGTGTGTGTGTGTGTGTGTGTGTGTGTGTGTGTGTGTGTGTGTGTGTGTGTGTGTGTGTAGCAGGTCTGAATACCTCCAGGTGACCTCCAGGTTCAGTTTTACTGTCCCGAGGTCATTGATATCCACGGCGAGTGTTTGAGGCAGCGGGCAGAACAGATCGAGCATTTCGCAGGACACGCTGCCCACCACCACGTGATTGGCCAGGCTCTTCAGCTCCGTCACCTTAGAAACAGAAGAATACAAACCCCACCGTGAGAGCAGAGACCATGTGGTCATCTAAAGCTTTGAGAGGTGGATACAAACACACATATATGAACGTGTGTAAGAGCAAGGGTAAAGGTTATCATTACTTTTATTATGACTACAGAATTATCTGTCTGGAAGTTGTTAATCTGTACATGGAAAAAACAAACAACAGAAGAAAACAAAGACAAATTCTAAAAAAATGAATGAATCACGTCTCTAACAGCAGGGAATATATTAGCGAGTTATTCTGGGCGTATGTGACAAACCAAACTGACCACCAACAAGTATTTTTTTCTAGTGTAGTCAAAACATGATAAAGATCACGGTTCAGCTCCACTGCTACAGGAAGCATCTAACTACCTCATGAAATAACCCAGCACATCCGTCCTTATCCTCATCTTTATTTCAAACACTGTCTGCTACACGTCACACTCTCTGCTTACTGAGCTGCTTTTTCTGCCATCGTTTGTCCGATATATCCACCATCCCTCCTCTGCACGTCTGAAACGTCTCAGCCTCGCCCCTCTAACTTTTGTCTCTAAGCTCTCTCTGATGTACTGATGTCCAATCCTGTACCTCCCGCTGCCGCCTGAACTCTCTTCTTCACCTCTCTTGTACACTTCCTGTTGTTTGGATGGGTGACTCCAGCTATTTACACCACTACATTCACACACATATGTATTTTTTTTGTTTTTGCTTCTACTGACTTTTATTCCTCTTCATCTCCTTTACTTTTATACCTCCACCTTTCCAGACGCTCTTCCTGCTCCTTACTCTCACTACTAATCCCATTGTTGTCTGCAAACATGTGTGACCTCACCTGTCAACCTGTCCACCACCACTGCAAACAAGGAGGTGCTCAAAGCTGATCTCTCATGTAATCCTACCTCCACCTTATACCCATCTGTCCCTCCTACCAAACACCTCACCACTGTGTCTCTGTCCTCATACGTGACCTTAACCACCCTCACATCCTTCTCATGTGGTACCACAGTTCCTCTCCCATGCCTTCTCTAGACATGTCTCCATCAATCACATCTGTATAAGGCCATACTGCTACTCACTGATCATCGCCTATTTTTTTAACAGCTTCAACAATCTCTCATGTCTCACTGGCACAGCCTGCTGTTTAAAGTCATTAAAGATGGTACAAAATTGTATTTTAAGACATACATGTTTTACATGTTTGCTCTACATGTTTTTCCTTGTGGTCCTTCTGTCTCACCATATTGTAATCTATGTACTTGTCTGACCCAAAAATGGGTTTATTTTCTTGCTTCGACTGACTTTCAATAATATCACTGAGTTATTTTACTTATTTATGACTTTACTTTATTATTTCGCCTTTCTACTTGTTGAGCTGCTTTTTTTTTGATTTGCTGATCTTTTTTTTGAGGCAGCTGGATGTAATAAACGTGGGGAGAGAATGGAGTGGAGTAAATTGTCAGGGCTGGAAACAAACTCAGGTGGGAGGATACACCCTCTGTACACAGAGCATGTGATCAGTCGCTGTTATTGGAACTTTCTGACCTTTGGGGACCAATAACATCTGTCATTTGCTTAAAAACAAAAAATTCTAACACTTCCTACTAGCAAACTGTTTGTAGTGTTTTGCATGTTAAAATGGCTGTAGGAGTTAGTAAAAGATGAACTATCACACTGCTGGTTTTCCATAAGATTTACATAAATGTGGTATCATTACCTTGATTGACAGCAGTTCTGTGATGAGAGGCAGGAAAATATACTCTTCGCTATCCCACATCTGCTTGTTGCTGACTTCTACGCGGCCTCGTAGTCTCCAGCGCTGGCGACCGTAACGCATCAGAACCTGCCGGGGCCAAAAGTAGCGGGTGTGATAATGGTGACGCAGATACGCAAATAAAAATGTGCGCCTGTGTGTTTGTGCTACCTCATACTGGTCACCAGCGCACAGACGTGCAAATCCAGCCAGTCCTGAAACATCAGAAACTGAGAAGTGAGAATTGAGCTCATTTACAGTGCAGCAAATGGGAAGTCACATGGGCTAAGAAAGCGACTCACCCTTCATCTTCACATGAAATTCTCCCATATGACTTTCTAATTCGCTCTCAAGTGAGCACATGTGCTACAGAGAAAAAAAGCAGACACAGCTTTGAATATTGTACAGCTTCCTATTAAATTAAGAGCCGAAAAAATTAGCGACTTATTAGTCAATTTGGCAGATATTTCATGTTTTCTGCTTCTTAGATGTGTTTTTTCTTTGGTTTTGGATTAATCGGTAATTCACTAGTCATTCACTTCAGCCCAAAACACACAAACAATCATGTTATGATAGAAACATCTAACAGAACCACACCCATTACTTGCCTCTGTACATTCCCTGTAGCCCTTGTTGGCTTCACTCAGACTCTCTCGGGCCTCCTTGCTGCCACTGGCAGAGTTAAAGGCTGCCACCATCTTGCTAGCTCCATCACGCAGTCGCCGCTGTATACAATAAGCATCGTACAGTTCTTCAACCTGGAAATGCAAACATTACAAAAGTTTAGTGCCTTTGCGGTTTAATCAAACAAAATAGCATTAATTTATATTTCATAAATGTTGCAGGTTATATAATGAGTGACAAAGCAACATTAGCGTCCTTTGGGAGTTGTCTGCTGAATTTAAATCCGATATTCAGCATCCCCTTTGCTCTGTTTTGGTCTCCACCACCTCCTGAGAAAATAGCTTCCTCTTTAACTTGTACATGTTCCACCAGCAAATCTTAATCTCTGCTTTTTCGTGTGGCCATCAGGCAGTGCAAACCAGGGATGTCAAAAGATCCAAAACACCTCTCACTACCAAAACTCTGAAAATGTGATGGTACTTTTTCTTTTTTAGTACAGAGTGTTGCAAGGCGGCCATTGTTGGAGAACTAATGGAGGCAAACTAGGTCTACAAGTTTTCTAGTCTATCTTCAGGGTCGATATTTTCGACTAATATTAGCCATCTACCAATCTGTCAGTAGCAGCACTGATAATGTCCGATAAATGAAAATTAAAAAATACTGGTGGTGACTAATGCAACCACTCAGCATCCTATTAGATGCTCCTATGGCATAAATTTGAAAATCCTAGGTGATTTTCAGAAAAGTTGAGGTTGGAGTCACTAGAATTCACAAGTATTCAAACTTGCCCAACAGTTTTTGTAGATGCACCTGTGGCGTGAATTTCAAAATCCTACGTCCTACCTAGTTATTACATTCACAAACTTTAGTGTCCATGCTGCATTGCAGCTCGCACAGCAGGCTGACATCAATACCACATCAGCCTGCAGCTTCTCTGTCAGCAGCACATTTGGAACGCCACAAACACAACAGTCAGCTGATCCAATAAATGAACAAATAAATGGCAAATTCTAGGGGAAAAGTTTTATGTTTCATGTGCAAGAAATACACATGACACATATCGGTATCCGTCTTTGTGTTAAAACTCTTGTGTTGGTTAGGCTCAAACAGACTTGTTGATAAAAAAAGCATTATGAGTCAGATAAGGAAGTACTTTATGATGTTATTCTGGCATATTTAGCATTTTGTTTGGTAAAGTGTGCGCTGCTATATTAGTTAAGCATGTATTTTATACTTTGACCTAAAGTTACCGGGGAAAACCCTACCCAGGCCATTTCTGTGCTAACATTTGACTTGTGCTGTGTCATCACTATTACACTATAATGCTGCAGCTTGTTTTAGTAGAGTTGTACTTTAAATTAGGAAGTGCATCATCAATGACAGAACCTTACTGGAAATGTGGGAATTCATTTACTAACACTTATAAATGCTGCTGCCTGTACCAGGCATTGATAAAACATTATTCAGTAATGTTTTCTTCTGTATCAGAAATATCACAGATTTTCTTGAAATGTATAATATTTCTTTAAATGTTATTTTTGTTATTAATGTATTTTATGTTTTAGGCCCTAAACAGTGGAATGAGCAGGTCATGCTAGGCTGTACCCACCTTGCACATTTTTAAAGTAAAGCTTAAAACTCATTTTTATTCTGTGGCTTTCAACGAGGGGTGGGAGCTTAAGTATTTAGGCTGTTGTATTGTTTCTTGTATTTTTGTGAGTTTTTTGGATATAAAGGGTGTATCAAAAGCAATCATCCTATTTCAAAAGGCTTAAATAAAACCTGCAGTAAAATTTAGAATACACGGATGAATGCAACGTTTTAGATACAAAACTCAAAGTTTGGATTTTAGGCTTTATAACCCATCCCTAGCGAACATTATACAAATGCTTAAGCTAATGTAACAAACTTTATACCTCAAGGTAATGTTAGCAGGTTACTGAGCAACCATCCTAACATTTCAGCCTGTGTCGTGTCTCCAAAATATAATGTTAACAATTCAAATAAACAGAGTGCCGTCACCATGTCAGAGATTTAAAAATGATTTTTTAATAAAGGGGTAATCATTTGGTTTTTGTTTCTGGAATCATGTAATTCTACTGGTACTGGGTATCTGGTATCCTGGCATCTCTACAAACTGGCTTTATCAGGGACTTGTTGCTATAAATAGCTGCCTCCCAAGCAGTGAGTGAACAAAGACACTGGTCCACAGCAGCCATTAAAAATAATGTATTGTTTTGATGTGATGTGCTGAAAGATGCTAAAATGCCCTACTGAATTATACAGAGCAGCACCTTTTCAATGGCCTGTTGTCCTTTCCCTCACTGCCATTCATTACGGGTTGAATGTGTAAATACACACCTTGCTGAGGTGGAACTCCAAGCGACGCATGAACCTCTCAATGGCTTTCACGTGCTGCAGAGGAGAATATGATTATTACACTTGCCAAACTAGTAAAGAAAATTATTTATTTCAGTTTCGTTGCCTGAATCTCACCTTATCCAACTCATACAAAGACCCCTGCAGAGAAAAAAAAACACACCGATCAAAAACACAAATCAAAGCAGCGGATGATGATACTGATCACACCCAGTACTGGTCCGACTGGTTTGACTCACCAAGCGACCATTCCTCTTGTTTTCTCTGATCTGCTGACCCAGGCTGTCCAGCTCCAGCTGGTGGACCTGCAGGTACGACCTGATGGCGAAAAAGAAATCATCTTTGCTTTCGTTATGCTAAAGAAAGAGGCCCAGCTGTTTCCTGCGTGTTCAGAGATATTCCACCTGGCAGCCATCCCTAAACTGAGCCTGAAATGTGTTTACTCACTGTAGGCCTCGGCGTAAGGCAGCGTACACTTCATCCAGCCGCTCGGGCTGGGGGGTTTTAGTGGGTGGCAGTTTGGTGGAGCCTGTGAACATCCTGCTTCCTTACAAGGCACGCTTCTCTTGGATCAAACGGTGCTGAAGGAGGGGGAGGAAGAAAGAGAGCGATAGATGGGATGATTTCTGATGAGGCCACCAGGATCATTCAGTTTAAGCACATTCAAAACAGGCAAGTAGGGCAGAAAGGGTGCTGCCCACCTGCTGATTAAAGAGATATCAATAGTGCTGAAACATGCTTGGAGAGTTGTGTGCAGCACTGTGGCTTTAACAGACTGAAGAACATGTCCTGCAGTTACACAAAAAGCAGATATTAGAAACAAAATGTCCCTCTTAGCTTTGCTCCTCACTGTATCTGACTGCAGCTCCTTTAAGACGATCAGTGATTCAGCTAAGAGCACAGAGAAAACAGAAAGGAGAAAAAAAAAGAGGATGCAATCCCCTCTTTCACTTCCTCAGTGTGTCCATACTGCTTTGTCTGCAAGACGGCGAGCTTCGCGTTAGCAACAACCACAGTGGCCATGGCTGACAACAGCAGCGAGTGCAGTCTGCCTGTGCTTCTCTTCCCCTTCCTTCCCTGCCACTCCACCCACCCTCCACTCCACATCCAACACCACAGTACATACAGGAAGTCTCACGGCTGACTCTACACAGGAAATTCTACACAGACGTTTGGCCCGAGAATCGAAAACCATCTCTTTTCACCCCTTCACCGCGCCGAGCTAAGTTAGTAAAGGTGCAGATTAGAGCGACGCTGCTGCCGTCAGGGAAAACTTTAGGAAGAGAGGGTCGTGCCCGAGCTAAACTAGTCACAAAAGAGATTGTAGACTTAAAACCAAAGTAAATCCGCCAAGCAGGGGCCAAACCCATATTAACACATGGGGTCTGTGAATGAGTCAGCACAGGACACAGTGAATTGTGGCACCAGTTTCTCACAGATTACACAATCAAAACCTAATCACAATCAATACCAGTGATATGATATGAGCGTATACACCCTGAATTTATTCCTCCTCTCACACAGGGACTAGGGGGGGTCCATTTAAACCCACTAATCTTAGTTGCTGCACACGAGGGGGGATTAGCTGGAGCTGATCGTGCTTAGAACATGGCAAAGAAAAGGTGTAATGCCCTATAAGAGTTTTTCACGGATAAAACATCCCCACCACCAATCACCTTTAGCCAAACATGTGCAGGACTTGGCTATGAAAGTGCAAAGTCATCATGGTAACACACACACAGAGGAGACAGAGGGAAACCCACATCTTGCACGCTCACATAAATATGTCATACACCAGCGGGCTTTGGTTATATTGATAATTACGAGACCCAGTCGCTCAGTGTCCTCTCCATCAGATGTGATTTTATCCCTTCCCCTACATACATTAGAGATGATTAGCTGGATTAATCCTCTCCACGCAGCAGGGGGGGAACAAAGAGGATACTGTTCCCAAACACCTCACAAGACCAGGGCTTTGTTTTAAAAAAAAAACAACCAAAAAATAAAATAAAATAAAATAAATAACTTTAATGCACTGAATGCTCAAACACATATAGCTAGCTTAATACGACAGATAAAAATCTGCATTTTTATCTTCACTACAAGCTTTTTATATGGTCAGAATATGTCACATTTCTTAATAACAATAATGATAATAGCTTAAATAAATAGAAAAAGTATATAAATAAAGAACAAGAATGGGGGTTGAAGGCTTCTTGGAAGTCAGGGAGATAAGATAGCTAGCTAGATAATTTAATGAGGAAACGGAACTGTTGTGTTACAGCAACATGATAAACATGACAAATAAACAACAAAGTTAAAGTGCTACAGGTGCCTAATTTGGGCCTTATACTAAGAAATTTAATACACAACAGACAAAACAAAAGTCAAAATAAGTTAGTTAGTTAGTTAGTTAGTTAGTTAACTAACACTAAAAATAAAGCTGACATTGTGTAAGAGGTAGTGCAAATTGCCTTAATAAATAATAACATGTACCCTATAGATCTAAGTAAAACAACTGCATGAGGTATATTATAATGGAAGCTCATCAAAAGTCCTTTAGCTCTTCTCCAAAACACAGGGTTGAGGTTGGAGCTGTCACATATGGCGATTCGATCATAACTAAACTAAAGATAACGATAGTATTTTGATTAATGTCTTTATTGCTAAAGCTGTAATGCTCCATAATTGAAAATAAAGCGGGTTATGGAGAGGTACCGGGTAAAGGTAAAGGTGGTATCTTAACTGGTTTAAACTGAACAAAACTGCTCCGAAGCGTGTATTTTACCACAAAACTCCACATAAGGAGGAAAGCACCTACTGATTAATTATAACGGCTTCAATTAATCGACCAATTATGGGGCATTTAAGAAGCAGACGAGCAAAAACAGCCATGTCGCTCCCACTGTGCAGACAGAGCGCTCATCCGTAGTTTCTGTGGTTTCTGAGGAGGAAGAAGAGGAAGAGGAGGAGGAGGATGGTGCTACAATGAAACGCCACCACCTCTATTACAGATTACTGGATTAGCCTCACCCGGCAGAAAGCAGGCCACTGAGTCGGATAACACGCCTCGGCCAGCCCTGCTCTTTACTTCCACCATCAGCCCGGGGATGGAGTCCCACCCGCAAAACTTGTAAGCCGCCCGTCGTGCCACATTTCGTATTCCGCACACACACATATCCCACCGGGGCCCCCACGGAGCTCATCACAGGCCACAAAAACTCCACCAGGACGCCTTCTTCTCTCTCCCTCTAACCCCCTCTATTCCTTAAAGTATCATCCCGCTAAACCACAACACCGAAAGCGGCTGGGGAAAAAACAGGGACAAAGTGGAGCCTGCTAGCGGATTTCATTTCGACAACATCACTGCAAGGCAACTTCACGGCGGACGGACTCATGTCCATGTAGAGAAAATGACCAGGCTTCTGCTTGTGACCTTGGGGATAAAAACAGAAGCCCCCCTACCTCTCTTTTAAAGTCCGACCACCCGGAGGACACGACCCCGGTCCCATTTCCAGCACAGTGCCGCTCGCAGTTTGCAGAGGTTTACAGTTATTCGGGGCGCTGTCCTTCTCCTTGATTTCGCAGTTTTTTGTGTTCACAGTAAAATCAACGGCAAGCACCGCATACCACTTCCGGCTCGCATTTTTCAGAGTTAAAGCTTGCTTTGGTCCAGGAGACAGACTGGCAATGCCAAACAATTGCTTGTTACCCATGTCAAATAAAGTCAGTTTTATTCAGTTTTATATTTTTGGCGGGAGGAAACCTCTAATTAACCTAAAACAACACGACAATTACGTATTTTATTTTATTTATTTTGCAGTAACTGCATTGAAGCAAATAGCAGAGGGGTGGAAAATACTAAGAACTATAGAGCTTTACAAATTTATTTATTTGTAAATAACTTATTTATTACTTTATTATGAAAATTGAATATCATACCGTCTTTAAAGAATTTAAACATTGTACTGAGCCATGGGGGGGGTCAGTGAGGAGCAGTGTGGCTTCATGTTTAGAAAGAGCACTACAGAGGTTATGCTTGCTTTAAGAGTGTTGATGACTTTAAATATCTGGGATCAGCCATCGAAAAGAACGGACAGTGCACAAGAGAGGAAATGAAAAGAGTGCAAGCAGGGTGGAGTGGGTGGAAAAGAGTGTCAGGGGTAATTTGTGACAGAGGGATAGCAGAAATTGTAAAAAGGGAGGTTTACAAGATGGTAGTGAGACCTACTATGGTTTGAAGATGGTGGCACTGACAAAAAGACAGGAGCCTGAGCTAAAGAATTCACTGGGAGTGACAAGGATGGATAAGATTAGAAAGGTTAGGCTTAGATGGTTTGAACATGTTCAGAGTAGGGAAAGTGGATATACTGGATAAAGGATCCTGAATATCGAGCCGCAGGCAGGAGGAAAATAGGAAGAACACAGAGAAGATTGGTGGATGTAATGAAGGGGTGAGGACATTATCTGGTGGCCGTGGCCCCTAAAGAGAAAAGCTGAAAAAAGAAGACTGAAAGAGTCAGTTTTTTCTAATGGCCCATTGTACAACAGACATCAATTTGTCCTTAAACCTTCATTCTGTCTGTAGCCACACCTCCACTTTTTCAATCTGTAAATACTTGTTTATTTCCACCTTCCTTAAATATGCCTCATCTCCATATTTAACTTATCAAATTATGGCAACTTGCCATTTCAAAAGGTAAACAGACATTAATCTGTTTTTAGACAGGACAATACAACAATTTCCTGATTTGACTTCTCATAACATCCTCAAAATGAACAAGCAGAAATCTGTTGCATACAGTATATATCAAAGTCTTTCTCAACTGACTTTTTTCCTCCTTATAATAAAACTTGTGCCAAAGTTTTTGTTTTGTTTTCTTTTAATAATTTGCTTATCAAAATGACCAGCTATAGCAGGAAGATGCCTCCATTTCTGTTATATCAGATATTTATATTTATAGACCAGTCTCCACAAACACGTATTTTGAGCACTTAGTCGCATTTTAAGACTCACACAACCAAACAAAACAACGTCGCTTACTGGGCACATGAAAACGCAGAAATAGTTAAAATCCTGCGTTTATTCTGCTTTTATTTTGAAATGTTCCCCAGACCGGGAATCGCGGTTCTGTTAGTTGCTGTGGCAACAAGGATGTCCCTCTGTCTGTCACTGTTTTCTCCGTTGCTGCTTGTGCTGCGCTGGCGACGCCACCGTGAACCCATCGGAAAAAAAACAGATATGACGTTTTGGAAGGAGAGCACTGAGGGAAGTACCGACTTCTCCTTCAGCCGTGGCCGTAAGCTGGGGGTGGCGGCTCGGTGAAGCCTCTCATTGGGCCGTTAAATCTATCAGGTGCAGGAACTCCGAGAACCGTTTGTCTAAGTTTGACCGAGGCGAGGAGGAGTGGGAGGAGGATGAGGAGGAGGTGGGGGAAAGCATGTGGCACTTTTTCCTCCAGACTTCCACAACAAAACGTTGCAGCTGGCACAACCGGGAGAGCCGCCGCGAAGATCCCCGTACGTTAAATAACGCCGCAACTAAACAGCGCAACACAACTGTAGTTCATTATAAACGCAAGAAAAGACAAGCAGACACATCTGATTGTACAGTTTAGAGCTAGTTTAAATTAGTTAAGTTTAGTTAAGTCCTCCCATCACAGAAAACACGAGGTTATTAAAAGCTTAAAAAAAAGTGTCCCTTTAGCCTTAGCAGCAGGACGCGGATGGTTAGCATGGTTGGGTAAGATGTTTACAGATGTGCTGCATTCACGGCTCATGTTTTAACATGCCTGTGATAAAATGTAGGAACAGCTTCTCCTTCAGCAACACCAAATGCTCTTAAAAACGGTTTCCCCTTAAAATATACACGTATAAAGTTAATATTTTATGTATATAATATCACACACGGTCCAAAATGCCTTCCTCCCCATAAAAAAAAAGATGTGTTTGTTTGTTGCAATATGTTTGTTTGTTTGTT